AAACCCCATCAAAGGCTTTCTCCGGATCGATCTTGTGGCCGGTGTCGACGAGATGCCCCACAATGGCGCTTGAGATACAGCCGGTTTTTCCCGGACTCAACCACCGCGAGTGGTAACTTGGCATGCACATAACATAATATCTCAATTTGAACGTCATCACAATTCCATGACAGCACTCAGGATAATGAATTGAACAGGTAGTAGCTATCATTTCGAACACCGCAATTTGCTGTGAAAGGTCATGTTCATTTTTTACCGTTGAAAGGAACCGCCACTCGCATCTTTTACGTTCTACCCATATTTTTAAGTAGTGCTTCACAAATACCATCCATTTATAAAAGGAACTCTCATTTTAACTGAGTTTTATGGGTTGGAAGTCACATCAAATAAATTCGAGAATAGAACGATGTATTCAGCGACGAGAAATCGTTCACCATTGACGGTCCTGACTACTGACTTAATGCTTGCGCAGCCTACGTGAGTTAGCCTTCAACCGTCGAGCGTACGGTGGTGGCTGTATCATTCTCCAAGATGTCATTTCATCAGTTTATGGAAATTCATAGTAAAAATCCCATTGGGTTCATTTATACTGTATATAGTTATGGCGTCATCATATCAAATTTGGGAAAACGGAGTCTTCTAGTTACTGAGAAATTATGGGAAACTCAGATGATTGTAATGACATTTCCTACGCTATACAAAATGCAATCAGTAATGCACATGTATTTTGTATGGCCGCGTTTTGGTTCAAGATTTGATGCAAATCCAGGGAAAGTTGGCCTGGCTTATTTGGTTGACGCCTTCGTCGTTCGTACTAACATCAATCAGGTGACACTTCCATCTTATTTCTACAGTCTTCTTTAATCGATGATTGGTCTTCGTGGCTTCTCGTAGAAAAGCACGTGTATGATGAAATAGTCATATGTGGAAAGTTGGTTTTATGCTATGATAGATGTGCCATTTATAGTCAGAAATGCACTCGTGGAATTCGTATCATTAGGGTAATTCTATACCAAGAAAAAATCTCATGTTACTTCCACAGCATAGCACTTTGCCTTCGTTCAGGTTTTCTTTTCAGCACCTCATGATAATAATTTACAGTCTCAATGCATTCAATCACCCTCTTGAGGTTTGTTCACAGGAGACATTGCTGGATTGCTAGCGTTCCTTTGCACAAACAGTAATCATATTTCTCACTTTTCAAACTGACATGGCATCATTTGATTTGCCTGCCAGTGATTCATCACCGTCCAAGTCTGAGATCTGTTACTCGTGATTTGGTGATGATTTGCCTGCATACTCTCATCTCAATAAGGTAAGATTACTTCACAGATTTAAATGTACTTTGGTAATTTTTAATTTAGTCATTGGTTGGAGACACTAAGAGATATGGCCCAGAGTGCAATTCAGTGGCGCGACTGCTATACGGTCTACCTGTTTAAACTTCGTGTCCCATAAAAACTAGAAATTGAAATACAAAGTATAGAAAACTATGCGGTGAATCAAACGAAAAATTATTATTCCTATTATCTTAATTCACTGTCCTTCTTTCAACTCAATTTCGTTCTGTTTTGTACCTCAACTGTAAGTGTTGTTGTTGCGTTGGCACGATGCTTTTTCGCAAACCGGTGGTAAATGTGTATATCATAATAATTCAATGTACTTCGCCCGCTGTAAAACAAATTTACATCTTTTTCAAGCATTATGAAGAGTGGTTAATTACGGAAGCGGTTCAATCCGTTTGAATAGTGCTTGTAAATCTCGTTTGTCACTGTTTTCTTAGTTATTCAAGTCACTTTGCAAAACAAAGAGCAATTCAAATTTCATTATCCTCTTTTCGCTTTACCTCAGCTGTCTAATAAGCACAAATGTCTGTGCTCATTTTGGTTGTTAGTATGTTGTCATCTGGAAGTAGCTCACGAGGTTCGCATGACTCTAACAAGCTTCTTACACTATCTTCCCACTCATTTGATTGTTGTACTTGAAATTGTAGCACGGTCTATTTCGAGACTGGGCCTCATGTTTGTGTGAAAGCATATATCTAGCCTGTTACACGGCTGTGACCATTTGGTTTTCCATTTAGTTTAGGTTTACCATCTCTTTTACTGGGAGTAGCCTTTCTGTACACACACACACACATATATATATATATATATATATATATATATATATATATATATATATATANATGATGCAAACTACTTGTTGGGACAAAGATCAATGACATTCGTGCCACGATAAGCCTGGCTGCACACTTGCTAATTCTGTGATCAAAATCAAACAATTTTACGACACATTCGACCCAAATTAGGGTCATCGCGGATCAATACTAATCTCGCGGAAATAAATCAATAATATTGCGTCGTACTGCAATATTCACTCTCTTTGTCCGTCTGATCCGTAGCCTGTGGTTGGTTGAACATTGCTCACTGTGTATTTCATTGGTCCATTAATTTTCTTGCATTGATCAATGTTATTTTCAGTCATATATAAGCAGCGGAGTAAAACTGGTGAATTGACTTGTGACTCGTAACTTGTGCGGAACGCCATTAAAATCCCGTGCTGCTGAAGCCGTGTCTTCTCTCACGTGTTTTTGGGAGGCCTGTGAGATCGCTAGCCGACCATGCGTTCTGTGTTTCTCTTAGGTATCCTCCGCTCGAACTATCATCCGCTCACGGACTTAGTGCTAGTCCGCTGTTCTCATTGCCCATGTGATACTATTGTTACTGTGCTATATCTTGTGTTCTTTGCACTTGTGGTGTTCTCCTGCGATATAGTGCTGTGCGACCTAATAGTAGGCAACGGATATAAGCGGAGTAGAACCGTAACGATTTGACCGCATAACTCTACTTGTTTTTCATCTCTCTTAGGTCTATCCGGATTGTCTATTGATTCGAAATCTTGCAGGATTCATCTTGGATCGTTGGTGGTACGACCAGGTGATCAACGTGACCTGCCGTCGACATAAAAATATTCTCTGTGTATCCTATCGTGTGCACAGGAAACCCATTGTTCATTCGTTTTACACAACACGAGTGAGTTTGATTTTAACCAAATCTCAATCTGGACTCCTTTCGCATGTCCAAGTTTGCAGATCCACTGATTCCGTTCGTAAAACGCCCTCATTCGTATCGTATTTCGTTTGTCTGAAATCCCGGGTAGTTCGGCAAAGTTGATGCTGTGACATGACCATTTCAAGGGGCTCTGTTCCAGGCCCGAATGGATAGTTGAAAAATTGCATTGTCAAAAAACTATTCGCCACTCACCTGTCTTAAGAATTATTTATTTGATATGTTTTTGATTGTTTGTGCACTTGAATCCAAAATAACTTGATTTCATATTTGGAATAGGAAAAACGAAACCACTTTCTTCACCATTTTCGTGGCTCCTTTTGATTGGTTTGTGCAGCATTCCGATAAACGAACGATTTCTCGTGAAAGATTTATTTTTCTCGGGCACCTTTACAAGGGCCAGAATAGTGACCAGCGGGGAGTTGTGATGCTGGTGTGTACGTTCAGCTATCGTGATTCGACGTCCGATGTTTGTGCATCATCACCATAGTGGACTCAGTTTGGTTTAGTGATTTTCGCATTTTGCGGTCTCCTTTATTATGTTTCGGTGGCATCCCGCTCCTCTTTTTTCAAACAACTATATGTTGTCGATGCCATTAGAACGTGGATTGGTAGAATTACGATGTATGCTTGATTTTCGTGTCATTCATCTTTATCTTTCTCGTTTTGTCAGTGCGAAACTTTGTACCAGGCAATTCAAAAAGCCATGGAACAGGTGTCTGTGGAATTACAACGAGGACCTCTCAGTAAGTGACTCAGATCGCACTAATTGTTAAACCGGATGTCACTCTACTGATCACATGACAAGACATATTTCAGAGTTATCGTCATGATCGTAGAGCGTAATGCAGTGAAGCGAACTTCATTGATTGCTGCCAAACTCATAATACACTCAATGTAATTGAGGATGTGTAAGGAGGATGGGGTTGAGGCCTATTTTCAGGGACGGGAAATGGAAGCGAATCTCTATCCACCCCTCTCGATGCAATGGGCACCACGGTCCTGATTATCCTGCTCGACAACCGATACAGTATTTAATTCTTTTTTGTTTGTGTATTCATTGGAGTTATATGGACGGGTACTGCTGAGGTGGCCAACCATTAAGCATGAGAACGAATAGGGTTCTCGTCCAAAGCCTTTAGTTCTAACAAGAACCTGACCGCAAGGCAGCGGGGAAAGCAAATTTGAGGCTCATTAACTTGAACCGATTACTCCTCTACCATTGTACCGACTGAGACGCTAACTGGAGTCGAACCCCCAACCTGTAGGACCTGGAGACTGTACTTCGTCTACCTTCTGGTGTTCCATGCATGGTAAGATCTTCTGGTTTAATAAAAATCATCCTGTGTAGCTCGTTGGGCCAGAGGGATGCACAAGCCATAATACCTCGTCAAAATGCAGTCCTTTTTGATGGATATTTCGGAGTTCGTTATCATATAGCGAACTTGTTTGTTNTTGTTTGTTTTCCGTTCGCATCCTATTTACTTTGGTTTATTTCCCACTGAACGACTTTCTTTTTTCCCCGGGATAAATTGGCTTTTTTGGATTCGTGCATAATGAATCTTGGAAAAGTTGCATCCCCAGTATCGTTCATTCGGGATTGGATAACTACATCTGTAGTGGTTATATTAAATTATCTTTTTAGTAAAGTTGTTAAATTAAAATTCATTATTTTGGAGCTATCCAAGGATATGTTTAAATAAATCTTTACAGTTTGCTCACAATTGCATGGCTATTCAATCGGGCAACACAGACAAACTCCTGCTATTCTACCATATTCATTGCATCAACCAGTTGTTCTTGTGCTTTATTTGCGTGAGTAAATACTGTTCGGGACCGGTCCCTCCGAGCTGAACAGAGTTTGTTGTTTTCTTGACTTCTGGTCGTTTCATCTATGTACTGTTCGTCTGCTCTCCTCTCTGACCATGCCCCGACTGGTATTGCTTCATTTTTCTCGATCTTCTTCCCCCTCCCATAATATCCGCCTCGCCCTCTCTCTCTCTCATTCGTACACGGTCAGTTCCTGATGGGATGCAATTTTGATTTATCCACTTCAGTGATATATTTTCTTCTTTACCCTGTACCTTATTCTGATCTGTGAAAGTAATAAAACCGCTCGCCTATTGTTCTTCACGCAATTGACCTTTCCATGTTCAACTGGGTACCGTTGTGCATTATGATTGCAATTGCTTCGTTCTGTCATGTGACCATGCAGATACTCACATCTGTGCAAAGATAATTTCATCTTACACCGTCACGGGGAGAGAGAAAGTCGAGTAGACCGATGGATATTTGGAGTGTAACTTCAGGAGCTAATATATCAAATAGTGAATATGTATACTTCGTTGCAGTTCTGTCCTTCCACGTTTCCCAAGCGCTCAAGATTTCCATGCTGGGGATGTCTCCATTTTATCATATTGGAACTTAGAGTAGAATCCGGCTCGGAAAGCAGAAATTCGCGAGGATTTCGGTTGCTTGATATCAGAGCCGTGTGATTGGTCATCATAAGAGCTTTGTCTCCGAATCAACCATGCACCATTCGCGGAACATGGTGGATTTTGGTTTCACTGTTAAACGCACAAGCTGCAATCCATTGCTAGTGGACTGTGAACACTAGAGCGTACTACCCTTTCTATCTATGATGCAAATTGCATTTCCGGTATACTGTTGAGATCTCCATATGTCTAACCGACATTTTCACTTAACCTTTTTTCATTGTCTATCGTCACGTGAAATAACGGACCTTCCTAACCCGACAGCCCCGAACGATCACGTTCGCTCAATCGTTACCACTTCTATGACTCATCTATTTCCGGTCACCGTTTCTTCATGGCGATCATTCCGCTTAGGCATATTATGGCGATCTCATTGCTGTAGCCTAGCCACCGTTTTTGTTTTAACGCACTTTAACGAAATGGCTGACTAACCAATTTGATGTTCAAACTAAACTGACGGGGCTTGAAATGTGTGCGTCTATCGATGATGTATTATGTACAGCTTTTATTAGAGGGTGATCGTCCAACCCCAAATAGTATATTACCCTGAACTGCTTATATCATTGGTTGTACATCTCCATTTTCACTTTAGTAGGTTCTAGTATAACCAACCAACTGATATTGACAACCGCTTTCGCTCGCCTGGACTCGCTAACTGTGCTATTTCGCCGGTTATATCGGGTTTATGTTGTGACGGACGTGACATTGCAATCGTGCTTGGTGAATATCAATTACCATCGAAGACCTTAAGTGGTCATCATCGAATGAGCTACTCAATCGACTGACAATCGATTTGTATTTTCTTGTTTTATCACAGGTGGTGATTTGAACGGAGAGCTGAATGTGATCAATCTGGCTGATGGTTCGGCCGGCGTCATCAAAATTACTCCGGATGGATTTTACATGAAGTTTAACCAAAATGAGGTTTGTCCCCTTCTCTCGATATTTCTCACATTTTCGACAGAAATAGACTGCGCATAATTTTTTCATCTATCTGTCTCGTTAGATATAACCTGTCACATGAATTTCCTGTTTGGGGTGTATTTTCTCCCCGTACCGATTCAAACGATTCCTCAGTCATTCGCGACGTAACGTTTATCCCCGTGTATCTATGTTAGGATTACTTTCACTACAGGATGGTAATCAAAGAAACCGCTTTTAGTCGATTGGTTTGAGTTGCTTTTTTGATTTGTTGTTAAAATCATGTCTTGTTCGTTGTGAATGGTTTACTCCTAAACATGCTGTACTGCAGTCATTCGAATCGTCCTAGGTTGTCGGTTATCACGAATTAGTCCTCCTGATCACGAGTAATTCCCTTGTGCTGTTTATCATTCTTCGATACACACACATATATATATACTTACTGTAGGAGGAATAATTACAATAAATCATTCTTTTGGTTCGTCATTGTAATGTCTTACATTCTGTTGGTGGGAGAGAAGCCCACGATTGGACGAACTGCATTGCGTCTGATTCGATTGGATGAATAAGGATATGAAAAGCAGTGTTCAAACATAGGGTGAATTTCTAGGTAGCTTGAAGTGGATGGCTCATTTGTTTCGAACCAGAAAAGATGCTCCTCTTCTCACGACAAGAGGAAGTTCGATGGTGCTGAGAGATAGGTTAACAAAAAAATTCAACGGGACCACGAGTTTAATGAATAGAACACCGCAAGAAACATTCTAGTGCTTACTTTTTCATGCGTATCCACTCCTCCTGCTTCGTTTCTTACTGTGTATACTACTAGAACCAGTGCCGCTATATTGAAGAGTGACTATGTGAAGGGGTTGTTTGAATCTGGATGTCACACACGTTATTCTGTCTTCTTGTAATGCCTTTTAATTTGTTATAAAAGCACTACTTCGTTCAATCCAGTAAATATGATCATTTTTCTCTTCTCCAGCTATTGTTCCCACACTCAAATAAGACAATCATCAACCCCCCTTATAAGTTTTGTTCTCTAATTTATGCAGATATAAATTTTTCTAATCCGCACAAACTACACGATTATTTCAGTTCCCTTATCTTACTTCAAAAGTATTACCTTCTGCCCATTCCAGAGTTTTATCAACCACATCACGAGTTGATTGTTTGAATATGAGTGCCATACGCGGCAATGGATATGGCTGAACAAGGGCGAACAGTACTCATAAGCGTTGTCGATAAAACAGGACTCCATAGGCAAGCGAAGAAATCGGCACAGTACGATTAGCGATAAATTCGATGCGGAATGAGCTATGTTCATTTGTATAAGAAAAGAGGTAAACGGTCACAAGAGCACAGAACAGGTTTGCTCTTACCAATATGTCACCAAATTCATCATACTGTGAAGACCAAATGTGTCCTCAAGGCGGTGGAGGGGGGTGGGATGAATACGGCGGGAATAACGCACAAACACCAACAGTGGTGGGACATGGGTTGTATCATATCATTTCAAGATTTATACGAATAAAGTGCTGACAGCTGTGGGTGAACAGACAGCAGTTGAAGCGTCTCAAGTGGGTTGAGGTCAAGTGGTTTGCTAAATATTGAAAATGCCATGGTCTGGAGGCGATGATCAAAGGTGATCTAAACAACAGTTGCATCTGTTACAAGGCGAGGTCAAACGGAGGGAGGGCATTCGTCCAAAACTGAGTGAATGTTGAACAAACTGGCGTGTGGAATGTTCAACACCGGTTGATCTTTACAGGGGTGATAGGTCAAAAACTGGAATGGTATACCATCCTGCTCTGCGATTGTGAATGAGCTGTGGACAATCATATATTTATTTATATCGGTTTTCTAATTTCATTAACGCGTGTTTGCTCACTGGTCTTCTTCTTCTTCTTCTGTTACTGTAATCCAGCCTATAGGGCAGAGGCGTTTCCATATTTTGGTTTGAACAACTTCTGGGAGTAATGCGAGTTATTTAGACGATATTTCTTGATTAAATTTTGCCTACACTGTGTTCTGATACGACTGTTTAAAATCAGATTTCCAACTTTCTGCTTTCTTAAGCATAGGAAGTTTTTGCACATCGTAATTCTCTGAGCTTCGTTTCAATCAGCTCTCGCTGATACCTTTGTTTATGTACAAAATATTGAGTTCATTTTTAACCAACGGTACGCGTATCATGCAAAATGTTGTAAAACCGAAATCATAACACAGTGCACAGAAGTGACCTGGTCGCTGATATCATTCAGTTGCATTTAGGTCATCAACCCAACGTCGTTTCAGCGTTTATTTAGGTTACCTATTTTGGTTTGAATGATCCGAATCGAAAGAATTTCGCTGTCTAAAAAAATTGAATGAGCTGTAACCAATTAACCTGCCATGCCAATTAAGACAAAAGGAGTGTAAACAATTTATTTTAACTAGTAACACAACCCGAATGTCGTGGTCTGCAATGATTCAATGAGAAAAATTGGAGCGATAGATCGCTGTTTATTGTTTTGAAACGGTACACCCGATGAAGGTGGATTTATTGATTTTCGATCGTTCAAGTGTAAGGGGACCCATTATTAAGAAAACCTAACAACCAACAGCGATACATAAATTCATTTTCATAGGCACAGAAATCCCCATCACCTCTCTCACTGTTCCCGTCCAACAGCTAGACGCAGGTAATCAGTATTTCCTGCCTTGTCTTCAACAATAACAGAACTCGTACAAATGTAGACGTTTTATTCGGGTTACCTACCTCTCAGACAACATATTAAGTTGGAGACAATCATAAGTTGGAATAGAGATGACCACGAACTGTTTCCAAGACGTCGTTGTGACGCACACTTATTCAGAGGCCAGGAAACGTCTTGTAGTGCTATACGAGATGTTTCATTTACATATTAATTCTCACGGAAGAGATCTGTATGTAACCGAAGTCCGAATTACGAATATCTCACATCAATTTTCACTTGTTCCTCTATCTAATCTTACGCCGTTCGTTTAATCCTTGTTTTTGCTGAAATGTACGTTAGCATAATAAAGCGTGAGTACCAATAGTTTAATAGATATTATAATTGCTGTTTTTCCTCTTTCTCGATGCAGCCGAAATTGATTGGCCCTCAAATTGTTTTGTAGTTGCTCGCGTCATCACCCTATGTGTACAAAGAAAACGTGCCATNGGAAACGAAATCAGACAGCATGTGTTTCAAGGTTAACAAGATCACATGATTTCAGATCCTAGTAACTGACGATAATTACTTTGATGAAATGGAATTCTTTAATTTCACCTTGAACAAGAGATTTTTTCACCACCTAATTCTTCACATCTCTCCAAAACAGCCTTATTTACTTAGCGTGGACAATAATTTGTAAAGATATACTGCGGTTTTTAGCACGCTTTGGAGAGGGGGGGGGGGAGTGCATACGATAGGTACAACCTAAAGAGACTAGGTGCAACTGGACGAATCGTTTTGAATCCATAGATGACCTTCACAAACCCATTAGGTCACGCGACTGTCAATGCAGTAGGGAATTGTAATAGTGGCTGCACACAGATGGGTAGCATGATTTGCCAAGCCACAAGCAATGGCTTGACAGATACGATCGAAACACACTAGCGTGCACAGTATTCCTGTCTTACGGATGCACCGATCAGTCACAAGCTTCTTATCGTGGTATTCGTGTACCCGTTGCTTGATAAGTTTCAGAGTTTGGCATCATATGATACTGAAATATTCCAACTGTGAATTCACACATCTGCAATTTGGCACACCTGGTTAGAGCTTTCTATGCGCATTACGTGAGGTCGTAACTCTCGCGAGCAGTACAGTGTCTGAAACACTGCACTGTTTCTTCCGCCGTGTTTCCTATTCACTCGACTCCTTGGTGTTACGTACAGTCAGATGGCACTGGCAGCCTTGGAATCTGGAAGAAAGCTGCGCTTTGCACGTTTTTCTTAGGAGAAATAGGTTTATTTTTGTTGCTCACTGTCGATCGATCACAAGTTTTATATTACTAAGATCAGTGATCCTTCTATGCTCAAATGAAGTAAATAAAACATTGAGAGCAAATTTCATCCAAAATACAGAACAGTTTAAAACTGTAATAGGTTGCATCGACCGATACAATTGTGGCAGAACTGCGATGGGGTGATCTAATGGAGGATCAACACTCAGGTTGAGTTGACAAGTTGATGTTCATGTTTCTTCAACAATGGCCGTCGAAAAACTTGCGTGTACTAGAGTAGAAACTCCTCAGGTGCATAACTGAATGCAACTGGCCTATCCAAATTCGTATTCCTGCCATTTTATTGATTTCAAATGAAGAAAGCAACAGTAAATTCAGTCTGTTTTTAGTTTGATCCATTGAATTATAATTTGCTCTTTGTCCGCCACCTATTTATTAAGGCTATAAGGAGTTTGAATATGAATGAGTGTACTTGGAGTGCTAAATAAAAACAGTATTTTTGCAGCTCTCGTGCTTTCTCGCTGTTACGTCTAATGACCATGTTGGGTTTCCACCTTCTCTTAATGCTCCTGCTGGCCCACTGCTGTTGCCAGTACCCGAATGTTGTCTGAGTGTGCCAGTCCACTCGGAGATCACACAATGTCAAATACTGTATCCCCTTATTCGGTCCGTTCAAGTATGTATGAGCCCATTGCAACGATGTCCTACTCAACTCGAACAAAGAGCCTCACCTACGTGACCAGGTAGGATGACGCATGGTTTGTGTCATTGAGGTGTGCTCGTAGGGTTAATCAAACATGGACACGATCACAGGTACTAGAAGCATCCAATTCAGTAGGGCTATGGAAAATAGTGAGGCAGAAGCGTAAAATATATGTAATAAGAAATCAGGCGATTTGAAATGTTACACATTCTGAGATTAGCCATTCGGATGACTTTGGAACAGAAGAGATCAGTATGGCCTATAGTGTTGTGTTCGGACGAGACTCCAGCATCGGAATCTCTCCTATAACTGGAATTCATGAGACGCTGGGTTGCCGAGGGTCACTGTATAGTGCTTGGAGACTTCAATGCACCAAACATCGACTGGGTCTCAAACGGCTTCGCCACGACTGCTGATCGCTTCTCACCGGACCTTCATTCGACAGATTGTGAACTAGCTCTTAATCAATATGTTCAAAAAACCACCCGCAGTCTAGGCCTGCGATCGTTTTCTGTGGCTCTAGTATTCACTCCACGTGCCTCGGATGTATCTGGCATCGAGTTCCTGCTACCTTTCGGCGCCAGTGATCATGTGATATTAATTATTCGCTGGAGAAGTCAGGTCCAGTTTCTGCAAACACTCCTATAGGGACTCAATGAATGGCGTATACGGTTCCAAGTGTTAGGACGGAGCCTAAGAAACCCGTCCGATCGCGCACGCCTCCGAGTCAGGCCACACGCACGCTCGCAACGCTCCAGACAGGCTGAACCTGATTGGATGATCACAGAACGTATCAGCCAATGTTTGTCCAATCGATCAATCGATAACTTATCGAAGAATACACGCTGACTGTGTCGCAACTTGTGTTCTCTCTCCGCGTTGTCGTTGGGGGTTAAGCAAGAGTCGCTCGTGCCATTCGTACGCATAGACGAACCACAACACCAAGATGTGCGAATAGTAGCGAAGTTGTAGACCCGAGAGCCGGTAAACCGGGAAGACGTCGAAGATTCGTAGTGTGCCTTCTGAGGCGGCCTCCTACAGTTCGGTTCGCCCTTATACGTAAGAGCCGGTCTTATGCCTAGGAGCCACCTCGGTACGATCGCAAGCTTAGAAGTATGCTCTCCAGGAGAAATCACGCTTGAAAGCACTATCGTACTTCACACTATGACTATGACGAATATAAACCGATCCGGAACCAATGCTCGGCAGCTAAAGTGGTCAAACACCAGTTTTGAGGAGCGTCTAGCTGCTGAATCTGTTTTGGCACCGAAGCGACAGTTCGCGTACTGGAAAAGGAGGACCAGGACGGTGCCCGGACTCCCCGATATGGTAAAGAATGGTATCACTGTTAATACTGTTGTAGACAAGGCTAGTGTACTTGCTCGCCAATATGCCTCGGTGTATGCAGGGACGGATATTTCAAATACGACACCTCCACTCCCTCTCAGGGTGTTGTGTTCACAATCTTCTGCCTTGCTCCCAGTATGTGCCCCCTACATTGAAGCCGCTGAGGCCGCTAAGGCACTACGAGGACTTTGTCCATACCAATACCCTGACCCGGATGGTGTTCACCCCTTGGTGCTGAGGAAGCTGGCTGGTATCGCTTCAATCACGCCAGCCAAAATGATCAAGGTGTCTCTCCGGGCTGAGCGCCTACCGTTGAACTGGAAGACAGCGTTGGTAGTTCCGTTGTTCAAAGGTGATAAGCAAGCCCCAGGCAATTATCGTCATGGAAGTTTGACTTGCGTGGTATGTGAGGTGCTAGAGAAATTGGTGGCAAAGCATAATATCAATCACCTGAAGACGAAACGCCAAATTTTGCCTCGATAGCACGATTTCCCACAAGGCCTCTCCTGCTTATCCAACCTTTTGTCGGTGCGTGAGCATTGGTCGGAGTCCAAACCTGAGGGTTACTCTACGGTTGTTGTGTTCGTGGATTTCAGCAAAGCATTCGAAAAGGTGTCGCATGCGAAACTTTTGGTGAAATTGAGGTCGATGGGCATCCAAGATCCGCTACTCTAATGGGTTTAGGACTTTCTGAGGGACAGAATATTCTTGGTGAAAGCGTCAGGTAGACGATCACTATAGTCAGCAGTTTTCAAATGAGTTCTGCAAGGTTCGGTACTGGGGCCAAAACTGTTCATACTGTTCATCATTGACCTGCTCGACTGGGTTGAATTGGAATGTATGTTGTATGCGGACTATCTGAAAATCTGGAGACCTATCCAGTCAGAACGCGACGTGAACACCTGGAAGAGAGACTTGGATGCTTTGATGAGCGGGTCACGAGCATGGGAGTTACCGATAAACGCTAAAAATTTCATTATATGTCCAATAACCGGTAGCCCATTCCAAGAGTGTACCACATTCTGAACATCTGTATGCGAGCAGCATTTTGTGGGTGCTGGTTTCCAAGTCACTAAAACCCCGGGAACAAACAGACAAAGCCTGCGCCTCGAGTTGGAGAATCCTCGGATATATTTTTTGTTCCTTTTCCAAACATATATACGACAGTTTCATGGCGCTGTGCACCTCTCATGTTCGACCGCGCTTGGATTTTGCGAGCTCTGCGGTATATCCGTGTACAACAGTCGAATTCATGAAGCTGGAGAGAGTTCAGCGAGCCGCCACTCGCCTTATCGCCGGTTTACGTGGACATTAATAAACTGAACGATTGCAGGTCACAGGACTGGTGACATGGGCCCAGAGCTAGTGGATTATTTTTCTCTTCGCAGGCAAACAGGACTCGTGGACATAGGGTCACATTGTTGAAGCTTCCGTCAATTGGATTTTCTCTCAGGTACTGACTGTCGAGCAGGGTAATCAACCTATGAAACCCTTCCAGTCGATTTGGTGGATGAAGTCAATGATAGCATGTTCAAAGGAAAGCTCGACTGTGTTCTTCGAGAAAAGTGGTATGCAACGCAGACTTGAATGCATACATTGAATCAGTGGTGACGAGGATTATACGGAAGGTTTCTCTCTGCATCTAACCGACGAACATTGAGCTTTGAAGAAATAATATCTGTTGCTAACAGGAGCTGGTTAGGAAGGAACAGCAACTGCTTTGCTTTCTCGTCTCAATTAGAGATACCACGAGAAATAACCTTCCCAGGGTGGAGTCATTAAGTTTTGTGAAGGGGAACTAGTAAATTGAGGATCTCTTTGGTGGTTACGTTCTATTTTTATTCTGTCATCTAGGATAGGGTACAGGAGGTCAGTTTTGCTTGATTCTTAGCTGTTAAAACCGCGTACGTTAAGCGGATAAAACTGTTGTATCCCGTATGAATCAGTAAGTACGCAAGTAGTGAATTAAGTAGTAATTATATTTCCAGTACGTAGCCGGTCCGTAAGCCGGCGAGCAAGCAGTGCGTCAACACGCAGACAGGCAGGCACAGAACTGGCGTAAGTCTTACCAAAAGGAGTGTCATCACGCTGGGCGGTCAACGAACCAATCAATGAGGAG